TTCACATAGAATCAGAACCTCTTGTCAGTGATATAAGATGTCATTTGGGCAGCATTTTTATATAAGGCTTCATGGAGATTATGAGGGCCTGACATGAGCTTTGACATTTAGAAGTTGTTGACCAGAAAGAGGAAAGGTAGAATTAAGTTTTTTTTTTTTTTTTTTTTTTTTTCTCATTTTTTTTAAATATTTGTATATCTTAGGAGGTAAAATGCTGTAGAACTAAAGATTCATGTAGAATGTTTGTAGGATATTTACAAGGGTAGTTATGAAAGTCATTGTTAGAGTTAGGGCAGAATTGTAGGTGGTATTTTATGTGTAAAGCAGAGAGAAAGAGAAACAGAAATTGATGAGATATTTCCCATAATTCTTCATCCATAGGTGATAGCATAGGGATTTTATCATTTATAACATACATGGTTACTCCTGTGATGATATTGTTTGAAATACCGACAACAGAAACATGCTGTTTCTGAACTCACTTTAGGTACTCTTGTGCCAACAGGAACTATAGCTACAGAAGAGAAGGAGATCCTGGACCGGTCTTCCAGCACCACCACAGTCGGTTCTAAGCTTGACCGGCGCATTGACATTCAACCAGCTGAAGATGAAGATGGTGAGTGTTATTCAAAGCTTCACCTGTAGTATTGTCATAATGACAGATGCAAAGTTTTGATTTAATTTTAGCCCTCATGATATTGAAAATCTCTAAAATACCTATCCAGACTATGACGATGGCTTGAGTGTGAAGCACGTTTCGCACTCCCGTTACATCCGCAATCACCGTCTCATCAACGAGATCTTTTCTGATACAATGGTCCCTGATGTGCGCTCAGTTGTAACCAGTCAGAGGCTTACAGTGTTGCGTCGGCAGGTCCAGTCACTTACCATGCATCAGGTGAGACAGCTGTTCTAGATCTGCATTTTTTTTCTTTCTTTCTTTCTTTCTTTTTTTCTTTTTATATATGTTTTCACTTATTTGCTACAGTTATATATATCTACTTAAAAAGAATCATCCAAGCCTATTCTGCATTTATACACATGTATATGTGCATGGCTGATGTCTTCCACTTTGTAGAAGAAACTGGAGACGGAGCTGCAGCGAAAGATCCCCCTCAGGCATGTTATTGTGTGGTGGTTTATGTCTTTGAAGCCTAATATTCTGCTACTTTTTTTTTTTTTCGTCTGAGAGAGATCTGAACTCCAATTAAACCCAAAATCTTGGTAAAGGTGATACAGATATTAAACTCTCTGGAAAATCTTGTTACCAGTAACAAAGTGAAAGAGAGAGAAATTACAATGAAAACAATGATACTCTTTTTCTGATCCCCAAAGGCCACAGCCCCAAAGCTGGACGAGACCTCATTTGCATCTATGGTTGAACGGCAAAAGGAAGTGCTGCGGCGGGAGGCAGAGGAGAGGCAACGCACAGCACAGGGCCTACCTTCACGTCCCCCTTCCACTTCCTCCTCCCAGGTGCAGCCTCAAAGCAATGCAGCAACCAGAGAAGATAGCAATGATGCAGCTGGCCCTGCACCTCAGAACACAGCCACACCAGTTGACGCAGCAGCTTCCCCTGCCCCCATGCAGGTCAGTTAGAGGAAGAGCAGACTTGGTTGTCTAAAAATGTTTCAGAATGTTTTTATTTTCATGGGATGGGAGGACTTTGTGGAGCCCCACTTGGATGTGGTGGACTGCAGCTTTTTCCTCGTGTATTCATAAAGATTTCATGGCCTTTCTTTTAATTTTTCCCCCTTACCCTTTCCTCTTTTCCCTTAGTCTGTCCTTTACACAACCCTCTCCCTGAACAACTTTTCTTGACAAACTATAAGAATCACTCATTCATTTTCCCTCTGCCACTTAAAAAGTTTCAGGTATCTCATAGTAACTGTGATGGACTAGTGATATGCTTAACTCCTCTGGCTAGCTGTATCTTTCTGTCCCAAGCATTATTTTCCACCAAGCAGAAATAAAACAAGAGAGACAGATATGCCTCTCCAAAGCATGCTGTTGAGTATATTGTTTATTTACATATTGATTGTTTTTTCTTCTCATTTTAGATATACTGTTAACATGCAAAGGTAACCAAATGGCCTACAAAGTACTTAGTGTAATCCTTCGATAGATATATTTGGTACCTATGAAAGAAAGATTGCAGAACTATTTTTTTCAGTAAGAAACATTGAGAATTAGGTCTTTTTGGGAGTACTTATTTTGTTTGTAAAGGGACATCTTGATGGATAGTGACACTCATTTTATATTTACTACATAGAAAAGAAAAGATATATTTTCAGGAATCAGAATGAAGAAAACTCGTCATATTCTTTGTTATGACTAATATTGTCAATTTACAATATCTCTGCTAAGTTCCAACATGTTAGGTACAATTTTTAGCACTCAAATTCATATTTTTGAGAAAGCTATCAAAAACCCTATTTACATTACCTATTTTGTGTTATTTTGTGTCAATTTGCCACTGTGTTGTGGTACACTGTCAACAGGAAGAGAACAATTACTCTTAAACCATTTCAAGCTCAACTAGGAAATAACTAGAAATTGAAATGATTAGTCACTATGGGTCCTTTCTTTGTTTTCACTGTTATGCTGAAGGAATAAAGGGTACCTTGCATAATGAAATATGAAGACGATATTGCATGCATATCCGTGATAATCAGCATTAAAATCCCCAAAAGTCAGAACTGCTGAATAAAGAAATATGCATATATTATTTTCCCGTATGTATTAAGAAATAGCTCTATTTATATTTCATCGATGAATGATGTGAGAGTAAGAAAAGGAAAGGCACGTGTTCAGATGTCTAATTCTACTGTAATAAATGTTTCCTCTTTTGTGATAGTACCAATTTACTTTTTTTTTTTTTTTTCCAATGCTTCAATTCTACTCCTTTTCTTTTTCCCACCTTTAAATCCTGTAATTATTCTATTGCTAATGAAAACTGTTGCATTACTTTCTGTAGAGAATGTAATTTTTCAAATAAAGATATTGTAATTTACTGTTGTCTGTTTCTCTTAAATTGTATTGCTTGCTTTGGTGCATGTGCTTTGTAAACTGATTTTAAACTCCTAATATATTCCTTGTGATTTAACATTTTTGTATAAAAATCTTCCTTTTTTTCTTATCTATAAACTGGCTTTCATTCACATACTGATTAGATTATATATTTTGGTTACATATAATTAAAGTAATAACTGTAAAAAGAATGGTTAAGGGTTTGTATGGTATCGTCACACAGGGAATCTTTTTTAAATCTATACCTAGTTTGTTTTTTGTCCATTTTCTGTGATGTAATTCCATTGAATTCTGACTTCATTATTCATTATCCAAGTGTTTGTAATTCATTGTAATTAATTTCTGCTTTAGTTCTGATTCTGGTTTCGATTATCAGGAAAGTAGATCTGAATAACTTTTTTTTTTTTTTTTTTTTTTTTTTTTTTCCCAAAGGTATATTGTGGTAATTCCTTCATTTAATTATTGCCTGAGGACTCATTTTGACTCTTTATATCTTTATGTGCAACAGTACATGCATCGTAGTGTCCTTGCTTTATGAAATTGTAAATTGTAATTGAAAGAATTGGGGGGGTTTGGGGCAGGGAGTTGGAATGAAACAGCATGAGAAAAAAAATATAGATTATGAAAAGTATGTTTGATTTCAGATATTATTTTTTATAAGTATTTAAGTTTTCTTTTTGTTCATTGTTAACCTCATTAATTTCTTTATTTATATATATATATATATATATATATATATATATATATATATATATATATATATATCTTTTGTATGATTACTAAACTTAATGTTGACAGTAATTATTGTGTTATTAGTTATTGTTATTAATTATTACTTACCTTAATTACGTCATGTTTGGTTTTCATTTGTATTCAACATTTGTGTATATATTTAATTTTTTATGAGTAGTGTATTCACTAAGCATAGTAACATTTTGGACAGCAAAAAGGCAATCAAATTGTGCTAGATTGCTGAAGTTGAAGTAAGAAGATATAATGATGATAATAGAATTAAACTATATTATTTTATGTTTGTTAACCTATGATCTGGATGACGTTACAATCCCGTCATGGAAAAGTCTGGGTCGAGGGCCGGGTGATGTGAACATGCCGTCATCGGGAAAAGGGCTGTGGGCTGGGTCATGAGCGAAGGCCAGGGTGATGGAAAAGACTCGCCTCGAGTGTTCAAACCTCTTGGAGTGTAATTTGACTCATTTGGTACTTAGAAGGGGGCTTTAGCAATATTCCCATCAATAAATGGATGTGGAATGTAACCTGTGTAACCCATGACTGGAAGAGCACTGGCTCCAGGGTGGATGCCATTTCCATGCTGTGCATTGTATTTGTGGCCACTGTGACCAGTGGCACAGGTTGTATTATGGAAGAATAAAAATTACAAAAGAATATGACACAAATAACCAAATGTTAATAAAAAAATCATGCACCGGTTATTTACTAAATAGAGAGATGATATGGAGTTTGTGCAAGAAGGTGCTATTTCCATCTGGATAAAGCAAATCAAAAGACAGATATGGACATTGGAAAATGGCAAGAAGGTTAAGTTTTATTCAAAATAACTTTGCAAAGGGGAGGCACAGAGTCTTGTCACCACTCATAGCTGTTCACGCACCCAGCCTACACCCCCACTAGGATGTTGGCTACTTACGTAAATCAATGCCCGTACTTTCGGCACCGTGATTTCCATGATGCAATCGGATCCAATGGGTTAACATATTCATGTAAAGTTATTCTTCTTAAGTTAATTTATATTGTTTCTGAAAAATAGCCCATGTCATTTTTTAACCCTTGTTCATGTTTAGTACTTCAATATCATTGATCTAATAAAATGATGCAAAACTTAATTGAATTGCATCTAAGTTTTTTTGTTGTTTATCATTCTTTGGTGTAATTGGCTTGAATTATTAAAAAGTTTAGCATTGCATTATGATTAGAGACTTTGCATTCCCTCATCTAAATTTTGAACCACAGGAAAACGACATGGGTGGTGAAGACGAGAACAAGATGGAAGGTGAGAACACACGACGACTTTCTTAGTTTCGTTGAATTTTATTTACCCTTAGTTTTTGTTTCATTAAAATTTTAATGTATATATATTTTATTTTATTTTAGGCTTTGTCAAAAGAGACAGATAAAATGTCCTTCATTTTTAAGATTTGTTGTAGCATTAAATATTGTGTTTGAGTCTTTCTTTTTCTTTATTACTCTTTTGTAATAAAAGAATATTTGGGGATTATTTGTATATGGAGGCAAAGATGCTCTATTTTAAAAGTCACTTATAAATATCAAAAGTGTATTAACTGCATTTACTATTGAATATGGTTTGGTTATATTAGTAGGCATGGAGTAAATTCATTGAAAGCAAAATTAGTGTATAAGAAAAAATGATTTTATGCTTTTGAAATATCTGATATTATATGTATATTTTTTGTTTTTTTTTTCCATTTTGATTTAGTTCAATTGAGTTGTTGTTTTTTTGTTATTCTCCCAAGTTCATTTGCTTTATTTTTTTTAGTTTGTTAGTTCCCTCTCGACAGAATTGCCCTTCCCAAAGTGTTAGTTAGAGACCTGTTGCTGCATGTGTGAACCTTCCATCCTTATACCTAACATAATCCATTATTGCCTAGCCTCCACTGCTGTGACGTCTACTGCTGCTGCAACTGCACCAAATGTTCCGGCTCCTACCACTACCACTGCTGCTGCTGTTCCTGCTGTCAATGGCCCCACCTCTGCTGCTCCCTCTACTGCCCCTTCCCTTGCCCGTCTGCTGCAGCTGGGGGATCCTCCTCCCAAATGACCTCCACTCCGCCCACCTCAGCCCAGAACACAGCAGCTCACAGTGATGCGAGCAGTGTCCCTCGGCCAGCCCCTTCGGTTGTCTCATCTAATCCTACTCCACTCCCTGGCACTCCCCAGGCTCCCCCTGTCTCTGGTGCAGTTCCTCCTCCTCCTGCTCCCCATCCAGCCCCCACACCAACCACTGCCCCAGCTCCAGCTCCTGTCCCAGGTCAGGGGCCACCACCACAGCAGGCTCCAGGTCCTGGTCCTGCCCCTGGACACCTTGCAGCCCCTGCTCCAGTCCAGGCTGCTGCCCAAGCTCCCCCAACCCCAGGCCAAGCACCACCACCCAATCCAGGCTCTGTTCCAGCACCCAATCCAGCCCAGGCTCCTCCAGTTGCTCCCCCTCCCTCAGGACCTGCCCCTGCTCCTATGACCAACATGGCCACTCCTCACCACCCACAGATGCCCCAGAGCAATGCCATTCCTGGGAACATGATTCCTCACTCTGGGCAGATGCCTCCTGCAAACATGCCAACAGGACCCATGGTTCCCCCCACCCAACCCAGATGCACCCCACCAATGCCATCCATGGCAATGGTCCATCTCTCACCAACCAGTTGCCTCCTGCCAGCTCCCTCCCAGGTGCCCTGCCCAACCTCACCCAACACAGATGCATCCAGCCGGTGCCCCCCCTGGCAGCATGGCCCCTCCCATCCGACCCAAATGCCCCCTGCCAGTACCATGCCTGGGAACATGGCCCCACACCCTGGTCCTGGGCATCAACCCGGACCACCCACCTCTGCCCCTCCTTCTTAGTATTTGTGTAATGGTTGATGTACCTGCTCCTCCTTGGCACTTTCTCGAGTGCCAAAGGAATGCTGCACTATCATGTGTTTTTTACAGCATTCTTTAGACTTGAGAGAGAGTCATGGTCATTTGCAAAGTCCTCAAGCAAGTTCTCCTGGTTGGATTATTTTCTGAGCATGGTTGTTTGTGGCATGTGTTTTGGTGGGAACTTTTTTTTTTTCCAATTCTCTTTTTATTTTATTTTTTGTCTTACAATTTACGATTGTCCAGTTTGTGCTTGACTTCAAGCTTGAGTTCAACACAGTTACTAGGATACTCAGAAAAATCCATGCAATTTAGGATTATGATTTTTCTGTCACTTATTATTATACATTTTTTGTAGAACAGAGATTTATCTGATATTTGTGACTTTTTTGTCTTTTTCTTTTAACCATTTTTTTTTTTTTTTTTTACCTTTGATAAAAATAATGTACATTAGGATAAAGGCATTCATGTCCACCTGCTAGTATAGCTGTGGAATAGTGTTTAGGCAAATTCTTGTAAAATTACTAGAAAAAATAAAAATAGTTTCAAAAATATTAGTTTCAAAAATATTTTAACTGAATAATCATCATATAAGCCAGAAAAATGGGGAATACATAATTTATATTGCAAATGTATTTATAAGACTACTGATAGACAGCCAAGAAACAAAATATGCATTGAATGTATTGTGAATTTAGTCACACTGAATACATGTAATGTGCATTTTTTTAATAAAACATTCCCTTTTCATAAATGGACTTTTTCTCTTATCAATGTCAAATCAAGATTGTTCTAAACCTTATCTTAGGTTTCATGAAGATTAAGGAGTGTGAAACATGAAATATGATTGCAAATGCCTGGTATTATGAACATGATAGTCTCACCTTTTTTTATTTGAAAGCTCCTTATCCTTCAGATAGCATTCAGCTATAGTTCATTCATTAGCTGTACCATAAATTTCTTACAAAGTACAAAAGTACAACTGCTTTTTTCTTAAGCACAGATGCATTCACATGGTCTGTGTAGACCTAAAAAGCCTAGTAGCATTATTTGCTTTTACCATTCTAGAAACAATGCACAGGACCAATCTCCTGTGTGTGCACTTTGAATTCTGCACACTAACCAACACTTAAGAAGAAAAACCTCATTAGTATGTCATGAAGCACTACCACACAATAAAACATTTAAAAATCCCATGCATATCTTAGTTTTACTAATTTATATATATTAAATGTTTTCTGTATAGAAATAGTCACAATTCATTATTTTAGGTTCATATTCAGACTTGCAGCAAAGAGGAGAAAGAGGAACACCACTGATTAATTTGATCTGCTCATAAAAATGCATCAGACTGCCTTCCAATCTAGAAGTAGTTTGTGTGAGGAGCTAGTACTGTATGCACACCAAAAGCATAAGAGTTCAATGAGACACTGGGAATGAACAGCAAGAGCACAAAATGTAACAATTTTCTGACAAAGACTCATGCAAGGGGACAGATAACATATTAATTTAATAGCAGAATTATCAAAGGAAGTGAAAAGAAACGGAATATGTCTCTGCAGTAATATCAAAGAAAAGTTTTGTCAAACCAAGTTTCTTTACTATACAGCAGTGAGACATTGATTAAAAGCCAAAGGGCTGTTGAATAATAAACTATTTGTATAAAATATAGCCTAATAAAAATAATGGGGAAAATTGAATTAATCCACCCTAATCCAGAATTGTACTTTTACTAGCTTTTCCAATACTTTCTTGTCTGTTTATGAACTGGATTAGGTATTGCTACCACCTAGAATAGCTCTTTGTTTTCTTAGGGTCATAGCTTTGTAATAATTACAAGATGGGGCCCATTTTAATTCCAGGCCTGGAATTATGGAATAACAAAAGTGTAAATTGGAAAACCTTTTGGAATAATGATTAATCAATGCTACATGCACAGTACCACTTACCATATTGCAAATTTTATATCTTCCATAACAGTATTTTCCCATAACTGAAATCTTGTCAAAATAGTTGACATTACAAATTTTCACAATTGTTTAAATCTGATTAAGTGCCAAAAGTAACTTACTAATTGGATTTTCTCTATTAAAATGGCCTCAGAGTAATGATTTGCTAAGCCAGTATCATACCTATAAGGGTGAGATTCCACTGTAGTTGATTATGTAATAACATTATTGGCATGCCCAAGTAAATTCATCTAACAGACATTCATTTTTACTAGATATCACTCATGATATAATGCTACATAAGTTTCAAGGGTTCAACTCAGGCTACATTAAAGCCACTGCTGTCATTGGGTGACCTTTTCAGTTCAGCTTTCTTTCAACCTTCTCTTGCATGTTTCCAGAAGTCTGCATATGCCTAGATATGAACCGTATCCATGTTGACAAATGTGGAAAAGGTATGAATGAGACTGGACATCTTCACAATACAAGAGATGTATTTACATCTCTTGTATTGTGAAGATATCCAGTCTCATTCATACCTTTTCCACATGCCTAGATATGTGAACTTCATCCCACCTAGATATGTGAACTTCATCCCATACTGGGTCCCCTCAACACATTGACCGTGACATTTTGTTACAGAAAGAATATCTGATTCTTGTCCAAGTTTCTCTCCCAAATACTACACATTTAGTTGGTCTTCAAACTAATGAAGTTAGGAGGATGCCATAGTGGGGAGTTGCCAAGACTCAACCTCAGCCTTCCTTAGTACAAGGGATGTTGAAACAAAATTCAGTCACTTAGTAGCTGCCCTAGCACTGTAGTGCTGGTTGGACTCCTTTAATGAGAAGTCAAATGATTTGGACAAAAATCCTTTGCAACGGTTTTTACACCTTATAGTTTATAAATTACTCATGGATTAGTACTATTTCAGTGAAATTGTTCATCCTCCACCACCTCCAAGTGGGTCTCCATCTGGATCTGAATACCATCTTATTCAAACCATAGTTATAGCATTCAGTATATCCACCCTCTTTATTTTCTAGTATTGATATCTCTGCTTTAGAACTGTTTAAAGGCCAGCACCCGCAAAGAGGATTCAACTATCTCTCAAGACATTGACAGCCTGCACAATAAAATGCTAAATCGCTGCGTGACTTAACAGTAATAACATCCATAACATGGAGACTCGTCTCATTGCCACCACTACCCAGCCCTTACTCTTATGTGCTGCTGCTGTTCCTGAACACTTACTCTCTGACACTGCCCTTGACAGTGCACAGTATTCCCTAGATTTCAACCTACCCTATGCAAAAATTTTCTCATTTTAATGTTAAATATTAATGCTATGGATAAGGCAAATGCAACCTGCATGTCACCAAAATCTATATATTGGAATCCTCTCTGATACGACAGACGCTAAGGACGCACAGCCAGATTATCCTATGGGTTACTATAGGCTGCAGCCTCAAGCTTGGGGTCCACCAAGCATAAGCAGCCCTGCTGAAAAATTTTATGTGATTTTTAATAATGAATGAGGTATTTTGAGATTTTACATTATTGAATGATTCAATTAACTGGGAATAAAATTTCAACTAAAAAAATAGAGACCAAGGAGTCTGAAAATCCTATTTCCAAAGTAGGCTGTTTGTGGCTCCTTATTTTAGATAAAGATCCCATGTATGAGGCCTTTTATTTGAGATGATGAATCCATTTGAGGCCCTGAGGAAAGCATGTGCTACTTGTTAGAACAAGAATCTACAAATTATTACAGTAATAACTAAAATATTAGCATTTCAGTAAGCTTGGTTAGCAGCATCTGGTAGGGTGAATGTTGCAATACAGCAAGGCGTGTGAATATTCAGGAACAACATTTGTCCACACGGGTAGTGAAGATATCCTGTACATCACAACTGACTGTCAGTCTCTGGCAGCCTATCAATGGGCAAAAGGTGGAAAAAATCCACAAGCTATACTGGTATGTGCAATAGAGTTCACCTCTATTGCTTATAGGAAGTTTTATTACAGGAGTTAGTAATGGATAAACTGTATCTGAAAAGAAAAAATGATAGTAGTAAACAAGCACTTTTAAAATGGAGTCAAGGATCTGAGGCAGGATTTCAAAGATAATTTCTGGAGCAAGGATGGGAGACAGGGAAGATGAATGGAAACAACTAGAAACACTATAGATAGCAATATATATACCTGTGAAATGAGAGAAAGGGAGACTTCATGATGAAAAATTGCAATCCAAGGTAACTACAAAGCTTTCAAATATGGTATGGTGCAAGAACTGAGAAGAGAGGCGAGAATAGAAGAGAAGGCAGAATGGCATATCGACAAGGAAAGCTTTCAGAAGTGAAGTAGAGATTTGAACACCTTGGCAAGAGGGGTGATGTTTAGAAGAAAAGACGATGAAGATGTAGAAAATGCAAAGATTACAAATGAGAAAATCAGGCTTGATGACATAGAAGTGAGAGCCTAATGGAAGAAATATTTTGAAACTTAATTGATCTGAAAGAGGCATATGTAATAGAACATCACTTACAATGAAGTAGAGAAAGGTTTGAAAGATACAAAGTAATGAATAGCAACAGGTCCCTCACGAGTATCTTACAACAGACTGAAAAAAGTGATGTACCAGAGGTGGTAAAAGTATTTCAAATATACTGGAGAAAGAGAACCAATTAGTTTGTTCAAAGGAAAGGGTGATGCATAGTGGGGTAAGTACAGAACTTTGAGACTGCTTGAGCACATCAGAAAGATTAGTAAAAAATGCTGGGACTGAGAAACATCAATATTAATGAAGCATGGATTATGGATAGAAAATCCACCTTAGATATCATATATGTTATCTGCAACTAAAGGTGGCAAAAAGGGGTATTTGCACCAAGTGATTGCTCATTTGGAGGACCTTTATGAATTACTAATGGTTATTAGTTGATGGTTACAAAGCAAAAGAAATGTGCTAGACCTCAAAAGGTCATATAGCACTATATAAAGTTGTAGTTGTGAAAAGGGTGAAGGGGGGATTTCATTGATGGGTAAATGTGCTATACATCAAAAGTCGTAGAGCAGTTCAGGACAGGAAGGCACAAAGGACCAAAGAGGAATTAAGGTAGAGAGGGAGAGTAAATGGGCTAAGGTAGGCATTAACAAGGGTGATAACATTAAATTTGTAAAAAGTAGAAGTGTGGGATTTTGTAAGGATGTCTACAGGGTATGGTAGGACTTAGCAAAAGGAGAAAGGGGGGTTTCACGGTGATTAAATTAAAGAGTTTCAGGGGGAAATGTCATGAGGGAGAGAATCCAGGGAAGGAGGTTGTGACTTACGTGAGTCTAATATGTATATATGAGCAAGTGGAAGGGATGGCAGGTAAACAAAGGGGGGATGATGTAGATAAAGCCAGAGGAGTGGGGATGTGTTAGTAGGGAGTGCGAGGAAAGGGTGTAGCTGAAGCATAAGTTGGAGGAGGATGGATGTTGGGAGTCATTGTGTGCAGATAGAATGGGAGCAGAGAGATTGGGGGATGACTGACTTGTAGCCATGTTCTCTATAGTTTTGAATTCCCTTGAGTTTCAGAAGTGGAATTGGTTGGGGAAGTCTGAGATATGAGGGTTTTCTTATGAGAAGAATGGACAGACATTTGAGGAGCAGATGAAGAGGCTGATGTAAGAAAGGATGCTGTTGGAGAAGATAGGGTGAAACATTTAGTTTGTCTTATGCAATGCGTCAAGTGAGGAATAGGGTTAAGTACTGGGAAAGTAGAAATTGGAGTGTCTGGATTTAGAATACTGATAGAGATTGGGGTGTCTGGATATAGAATGGCAAAAGAATTTGACTGGAAGGAGGGGTAGAAGTGGGATGAGGAAGAGATACGGGGGAATATG